CGCGTACGCCATTCCCGGCTACCAAAAATTACACGAACGAGTTATTCACATTAGGAATAATCGCAGAGGTCAACCCAATCGGATGTGCAATGATCCAGTCTCGCTCTCTTATAGGGCTCAACTTGATTGTGAATAAGCCCAGATCCGAATGGCGCGTTTGGCTCACTTCGAGACATTCATATTGAAATTTTTGTGACAGACTTTGGACTTCGAGGAAGTGATTCGTACATATAAATAAGTAACCAGAAAAACAATATAATTTGTATCTTTCTTCGCAGTACCAATAAGAATAAAAATTGGACACAATACAGAGAGTACAAAGCGCCAATCTTCTCCTCCACTTTGTTGTTTGCGTCTTAATGTGTTGTTCTAAGCCGCCTCTGAACGGCTGATGGATTTTTATGAGCAACTTTTATTTCATGACAGAAACACACTTATACGGGTTGGCAGTTCTTGTTGCGCGACGACCGCAATTAGAAAAATTTATTTAAATTTTTTATTTAATTTTGAAATTTTCAAAGCAAAGCATTTCCAACAACATTTCCGGTGACCCCTCAAAAAAAGGTATATCAGCGTTGTAAATAGAATTCATGACTGGATCTTCCGAAACAGTGAAAATCGGATTTGTGGCAGACTTTTTACATGAAATTTAATAAATTTTGCTCTACAGCTTTATATTTTTAAATAGCTGTGACTGAAAATATCGAAGACTTATTTAAAATTTCAACAATTTTCGAGACATTTTGGCAACTGACTTTGACGACACAGTTTGAGGAAAACTCGTCTAAAGTTTAAAGCGCTAAACCTAACTGCCTGTGAGCGCAAAAATTCTCAAACCTATATTTAAGAAGCTTTTATTCGAGTCGACTTGAATAGTATTTTCGAAATTTTGTAGAAATTAATAAGCCAATAAGAAAAATCATTTTTTTTAAAGCTGTGCAACCGATGCAACACCTTAAGTTTCTTTCTTCTTGTTTATTTCCAACTGGTTCTCTTTATAAGAAAAAAATAATAAAAGCCTTCAGAATACATATTCTTCATAGAGAGCAAGTAATATACAAAAATCATTCGATTGCACTGTTAGGGCCTGTTAGTACCGTTCGAATATTCTATTTAGCTCCAACTGCTCTCATTAAAGCGGTCTTAAGTCAATGGATTTGTAAGAACTTAGACCAGAGAACCCTGGCACCGGGTTCCGCAGCCATTACTGCCATCAATGACCATACAGGTAAATATATTACAAAAAAATACTAATACTGTTATTCAATTATTTTCTTCTGCCGTTTAGTGCATACGCCGGCACGGTTCACCGAACAATTTTGTGTTCTTCAAAACAACAACAACAAAGAAGAGCTGTATTTAAAGGTTACTGTGCTACAGCCAACAACCCCATTCGCATTTTTTATTTTTTATTAAAGCCCCATCTGGATATTCACGGAACTCAACGGCACGTGGTGAAATTTCAAACAAAATTAAATAAACTTGAAAAACAAGTTACTAGTGGGTTTTGTGAAAAGGACTTGTGATTAATTTAAATGTAATCAAACCAGAACCAGTGACGCCAACCTTTACTATGTACTCGCATCTCAGCATATATTTGAAACTCATTAATAGAAATTAGTCCAATGTGAATTCAAAATTACACTACGTCATACGTAGGCAGCAAGTTCAAACTAAAATTCAACATCAACAAAAAAATTTAAGAAGGCGTTCATGAGTTCTTGGAAATCCTACGCATCACAAAGTTTGTAAGTTATGACGCACCCAACGGGAAGGAGCCGAGTGGGCGAATGCGGAAATGAACTTTAATATTCACACAGGGCGAGCAACGTGGCTGAGATGCAGCGAGGGCGTCACACGTCCAGAGTACTGGGGATGAACAGTAAATAAGTAAGTAACAACAAGCCGTGAATATGAAACGGATATTGGCGTGTCGGTGGCCAGTAAAGTGACACACACACACACATACAGCCAGTGTCGAACGAAAGTATTTTATTTATGTTTATTGCTTTTTTTTGTCTTTTGCTCGCGTTGCACTGCGGGGGTAGTTTTGCTAACCGCAAGTATGTGAAACTGCAGATTTCCAACTGTGCACAGTGACAACACCCGCATGCGCCTGTTCTCGACACCCGCGCGCATATCACGCAACCCACAGAAATTCAGTCGCACACACTCACACATACAACAAATATGCAAGTAGAGACGTCATTTATCCACCGACAACATCATCGAGAATTTTACAAATATGACTTTTGTTTGTTTACTTGTAGATATGAACTCCCCCTGCGGCCCTCCCCCTCAGCTAAGTGCTGCTTTTGGTAGTCCTTGTAAGTGGGCTTACTCGTATATGAGTGAATAGCTCTTTGAATGTGCGTTTGTGTGTGTGTGTGCGTGTTGCAGCACGTTTTGGCTAATTTAATCGCAGCAAATTGTTCGACAATCTGTACTGGATTAGAAGCGAACAAGGCGAAAAGCTGAAAGCCACCGTAAAGCGATACATTTGTTGCAACCTGCACTCGCTCTCGAAGAAAAGCAAAGACCGTAGAGTGTTTGGTACCGTGGGGCGGACATTTGTGCCTTGTTTCTCATACCATGTGATACGCCCACCTTTTGCAACCTTCGATGCCATATACACAAGTATTCTTAAGTCCGCGGTGGGAGCGTGTGAATGAGCGATAGCTGCGAGTGCTTTATCACCGGAATGGCACAATTGGATTATGTTACTCAAAATGTGTTAGGAAGTAACTTTATTTTATTATTGTAATCATGTAATCATCATAATTTACGGTTGCCACTTGCGGCAAATAGATCTGAGCGTGTATGTGTGCTGTGGAAGGAGAGTTTTTATTAATTTATGCTTTACAATATCTTTGACTATGTGTGAACTAAGGGGATTCGGATAACGAATTGGAAGACTTACTAGGGGAGGTGATGTGATCATGAAGCCGATAGTAATTAGTAAATGATATAATTTTGCCAAGCGATTACCACGGATGTTGTAATTTCATATCCAGTTTATTCGCTGGAAGAGCTCGGCCCCAGAAGTAGTGATAGCAGGAGAGATACTAGCGAATGGGTTCCTGAGGTAAGTCATTTTCTGAGTGAGCAAGCCATGAAACAAGAGTCATTTCTTCAACTTTGTATTCCCTCACTATACAACTAACAGCTGGCCTAAGATTTGGATTTACATTAACATTGCAACCCAGTTTATCACTTCCTAGCACAGTAATACCACGGCACCAATATTTCATCTTGGAACATAGTTAAGCTAGAGACTCTTTTGCTGTCCATCCGAGGTGACGCTGATCCCTTCCCAGCTGAGGAGACAGGAACATATATTTAATAATGTCGGGACGGCGCGTACGCCATTCCCGGCTACCAAAAATTACACGAACGAGTTATTCACATTAGGAATAATCGCAGAGGTCAACCCAATCGGATGTGCAATGATCAAGTCTCGCTCCGGAGGAACCGCCTTCATGATCACGGTTTACCTCTACGCCAGGTAAGTATGCTTTCTTATGCTCACGGCAAACTATTTGTGTAGAGAGCACCACAAAGCGGTTGGGAAGTGCAGTGAAAAGGATATGCGCGCATTTGGTGAAGAATGAAAAGAGTGATAGCCACAACATCCTTCACAGGTAGACGCAGAATTTCGCGCTCACATCCAGGTAGCGAACGTTTTTCAAGGCTAAATTATTTAGAGATATTTTAGTTTGTTTTTAATGTACTCAGCGACAAAACGAAATAGGGATTCTTACCTTGAGATATCTGCTCATAAACTAAGTAATCTTGAGTCGGCTGACTGCAGAATATGCTCAGAAGCGAACAAAACGCTTTATCACTGTCTTTAAGAGTATCCAAACGACTTCCAATTCAACCAACTAAGCGAGAAATTTAATATTGGTGAGCCAAAGCCAGTGAGTGAGGCGGTGAGCCCCGGCAAGTTACAGCTCAAATGGTAAATTAGAGTTAATTTTAATGTTACGGAGACAAAAGGCCATTACGACGATTAAATTCTGCAGAAATGCTCCAGCATGAACCCTGGAATTTAGTCAATTTGGTGACATTTAATGAGAGAGACAACCTCTTTCGCCAACCAATTCGTTAAGCAAATTCATACAGACTCGAGACTTAAATGAGTTCGAACCCTCACACTTTATCAGGCCTATTCTGTCGTGGTAACAAAATTTTCCTAGGTATTAAAATTTTCCATTTAGTAGATTTTGTTATTATTTCGTATTCTGAGTTCACTGTCACCCTATAAATTTTGATACCAACGAAATAGGAGGTAACAAACATATCTGCTGTTTGATTTTGTGTTGTAAATTTGAGTAAAAATAAAAAACCAAAATGAGTGAGCGTTTTAGGCCTAGAGTTCATTGAAGATGAAGAAAAAAAGTGCAAAAAGCCGTATTTTAAGAAGTTATCGAGGCAAAAAAAAAGCCCTTTAATTGTTAAGATAACGTTTTCATTCAGCTTTTTTTTGTTGTTCAGGCATATTTTCCTTAATTAGGTTCAAATATTTATGATTTAATAAACAAATTAAAAAATTTTTTTAATTTTTTTGTGCACCGTCTTCCATTTCGATGTGAATATTTTTCTTTTTACTTTATCAAATGGCAAATGTTATTTGACACGGACGAAAAAAACAGTGCTGACAAATTTTTTTCAAAAATTGTAACCAGTGCGCCAGAATACCAAAATCAATTTCGGGTTTTAAAGAAAAGTAACAAAATTTACTTTACCGGTAACAGTGAGAATAGACCTGTATATGACATATACTCGAACTCATCCTTATCTCTGCCGTAAGAGTTTAAAACGCACGATCGATTCATCTCTACTAAGTATTTCTAAAAAATAATTGACTCAATGCTTGCATTTCACGAGAAACCTCACTTATAACCAAATTTATATGACGAGACGTAAATTTTTCTAATCGTGGAATCTAATCCGATAATAATGAAATAACTCATTATTAGTACGAGTATTTCATCCTAATATAAGGTTCCGCTTTTTTGCTCTTCATTCAATGCTTTATAAAAAGTGTTACAGTGATCGGATTTAGTTAAAATATGCGCCGTTTTGTTCGATGATCTGTTTCCATCTAGACGGCAACTTCATAATACCTTCCTCGTAGAAGGCTCCCT